TTACAATTTTTACATTTTGCAAGCGTGGCTTTTTTTGCCATTAATTTTTAAGTATGGCATTCAAACGTTATTTATTTTGATCACAGAATTCTTAGCACCCCACCCACCCCCTTAAATATCGCTCCCTGGAAATGAGAGGCTTACCTGCCTCATCCTAATCCTGAGACTAATTACTAATTTAATAAGAAAAAGCCACCACTTCAAGAGATAAGTGAAGAGTATGAAGAAGCAATTTCAAAGAAAAATACATATGTATAAAATAAACGTTTGGGAAAAGGTGTGTAAACGGCATATACTCAAAAACACTCTTGCGCAAGTGTCGAGGTTGGTATAGGTTGTTAAATCTCCATCAAGGGAAGGAAAAAATCCTATCTAGTCTTTCCCAGATTAATCGGGTGTAGGCTGGCTTAAGAAATGAAATAATCAGTAAAGGTAAACTTCTCGGATCAGCCACTAATGATTAGATTAGTGGGAGGGGCCATCCAGGCGGATCAGATAAAAGCCCCACCAGTTGCTGTTTCTCAGTCTCCTGGCGGAGTCTGACTTTGGAACTCTTCCTCCAACATGGCTGAAGACAAATTTCCAAAACGTAAGTTACTTGCACACCAGACTGCCGTTGTGGTTTCCTTGGTTTGGGTGGGAAATAGGGCTGAAAACCTCGTGGGCTTGTCAGATGTTGTGGGAGTCCTGTTTTGTACTCTGTTAAGTAATGGTGCTAGGGTCAGGGGAAGCCAGTTTCTTTCATGTGATGTGAAAATATACCATCCTGTGCGCATCTAAGTACCGGGAACTTTGGAAAGACATTCAAGAACTAAACAATACAAACGATTGTTTCTGGGATGGAGGTGGGAGGAAAGAATAGATGGGAAGAAGGAACAGGAGAGAGACACACTAAAAGAAAAGAAAAGAAAAAAAACCGATGGGAGGCATCAAATATTCCTGGGACCAGAGTGTCTTTGGAATCAAAGGGAGCTTCCAGGTTTCCCTCTCCAGACTCAGCATCTGTCCTGAACTCTGGCTTTGTCTATGCAACTGCCTGCTCGCCTGTAACAGGCGTCTCAAGCCCAGCCTGTCCCAAACTGAATCCTCGACGTTCAGACCCAGACTCCTCCTCCAGCTGGTTTCCTTGCTCGAGAAATGCCAGTTGCTCATGTCAGAAACCTAGAAAAATCCTTGGCCCTGTTTTTGTCTCATCTGTATCTAATCAGGCTGAAAATTCTGTTGGCTTTATCATCCAAGTATTTTGGGGATCTCCTGACCATTTCTCCGTCTGTTCCCACCACAGTCACTAGATCACTGTGATGTCCTCCGACTTGATCTCCCTGCTTCCACCCTGGAGCTGATTCGGTCTGTTCTCAACCCTGCAGCTTGTGTGATCTTATTACACTATCCAGTCTTCTTATCTGCTCCAAACCCCTCAGTGACTTCCCGCCACACCAGGAGTCAAAGGCACTTGGCCCCGAGAGGTCCTATATAATCTACCCCGCCTGGGAGGTCTAGGACCTCGTCTGCTTCTGCTCTGTTTCCACCTCTCCAGACTTTACAGCCTTTTTGCTGTATCTTGAACAGGCCAAGCAGACTCCCACTTGCTGTTCTCAGTTCTTGCAAAGTTTCTCTCCTGAATGTCAACATCGTTCCCTCTGTCATTGGCCTCAAGTCTTTGCTTAAGTCATTTTCTCAGGGAGGTCTTCCCTGACTACTTCACTTATTAAAATCATGGCCTTACCCTGTGCATCCTCCACTTTCTCTCCTTCCTTCTTTTTTTGCAGTGGAAATATTTACCACCTGACACACTCTATATTTTCACTTTTTTTTTTTAAATCTCCTGACTCTTCATTAAGGTCAGAGATATCTTGCCTATTTTGTTAACAGTGCCTAGAACAGGATCTGGCTCTTAGTAGGTGCTTTAGAAATGTTATTTTGAAGAATTGAAATTAGATGAAAATATTCTAGTTCATTCTACCAGGACCTACCTGGTAATCCTGTGAGTAAATATTTGTCCAGTGAGCAAAGAAGGAAAAAATCCAAGCTTCCCTAGGAAAATTCAAACTTTGGAAACTAGGGATCTGCCACTGTGAGCTTGACATCCTATGACAGATCTGAACAAGACCTTGGCTTTGCATGGGTTTTCTCTCTGTTCACTTCATTTCCCTAACCGCTCCTCTTCTTTCTCCAGGACGGCCACAGACATCAGATCTAGTGTACTGCACGTCCTCTAGGTCTGTGTGTCTAGTTAGATACGTGTGTATCCTTTTTTTCCATTCTTTACTGAATTACAGTCAGTTTACAAAGTGGCGTCAATTTCTGGTGTACAGCATGTTTCAGCTGTATATATACATACATTTATTTGTTTTCATGTTCTTTTTCATTATAGTTCACTGCAAAATATTGAATATAGTCCCCTGTGCTATACAGTATAAACTTGCCCTTTATCTATTTTATATATAGTAGCTACATATTCTATATACAGTATATATACACTGTTGGTGGGAATGTAAATTGGTGTAGCCACCATGGATGTTCCTTAAGCTAAAAATAGAGCTACCTTATGATCCAGCAATCTCACTCCTGGGCATATATGCCAACGAAACTCTAATTTGAAAAGATACAGGCACCCCAGTGTTCACAGCAGCACTATACACAATAGCCAAGACATGGAAGCAACCTGAGTGTCCATCAACAGATGGATGGATAAAGATGTGGTGTGTATGTATATATGTAAGGAATATTACTCAGCCATAAAACGAATGAAATACCATTTGCAGCAGCAAGGATGGACCTGAACTAACACAGTATAGTAAGTCAACTATAGCTCAATTTAAAAAGTCCACACACACACACACACAAAGACACAGTCTAGGAGAATAACGTAAGTGGAGCTATAAGATGGGTGGAGTCCTGTGAGGACCTTTTTCCTTGTGAGGATTTCCAACTTACCTCAGAGCACACCACTTTGTCACCAGAAAAATTCCATCACGAACTATTTGGAAGTTCTCTCCAAACCGTCATTTCTCTTGGTTTCTGATTCCATTTTGAATGGTTTGGAGTGGTGGCGGTCATTTCCAAGGGTTTTGGGTTGCTGTTGTTTGCACCTTTTTTTTTTTTTTTTTTTGCTAGAGGGTTACTCAGTAATTCAAACTTTCAACAAATGCTTATGCAGTAGGTAGTAAGTGCCATGCCCAGCTGCCCAGCGCCCTAGGCTTAGAGGGTTTATGCTCGTGCCCAGCGCCCTAGGCTTAGAGGGTTTATGCTCGGCTGCTGCCCTCTTGAAATTTTTAAATTAATTAATTAATTTCCCCCTTGCCAGAGGCACTGAGGATTGAACCCAGGACCTTGTGCACACCAAGCACGTGTCTACCACTGAGCTATACCCCTACCCACTCTCTTGAAAATTTTCACAAACGTTTTGAATAAGGGACCCAGCATTTTCATTGGAATATAATTTTATTGGAATATTTGTACTGAGCCTCACAAATCATGCAGCCAGTCCTAATTCCATTCATTGGGAGTTCCATAGCGAACAAGACAGGGCAGAATGTCTTGTAGAATTTTATTCTATAGAGGGAAACTTAGACAGAAACAAGGAAACATGTATAAGTTTATTTCAGATGGTGGTAAGACCGGGGTGAATTGAGAGAAGATTCCAGTGGCATTGTGGGTGATGTTAGGGTTAGTCCTCCCCTTTCAGTGACATACAACCCCAGAGAGCAGTGGGCTGGTATGCAATTGTAGATTTAGGCTTGAGGTGGTTCTTAAATGCATAATCATTGAAGCACATATGTATTAACTTAAAAAAGATTACTGCAGTGTGGTGATCATTTGTAATGTATAGAAATATCAAATCATTATTTTGTGCACCTGGAACTAACATAGGGTTGTAGGTCAACTGCACTTCAATTAAAATAAAGATTATGATGGCAAATCATGTTGGGACTGGGCTGTAAAAATGCCAGATGCCAAACCTTGACCTAAGGAGGCACAAGTACTCAAGGATCAAACAAGAAACCACCCTCATGGATTAGGAATCCAAGTAAATTCTTTATTTTGCTGAAGGAAGGTAAAGGGTGGCCACAGTTAAAGTTTTCACTGGATTTTCATTTCGCATAAAGGTGAGATTTGAGTTTTTCGAGAGTGACCTCAGAAATACTGCAAAACTACCAGAGAAAGAAGATACAACTTGTCCCTTTGTATGAGGTGCCAATCAGAGCAACTCAGCACATCAGAGTCTCCTCCACCTACGAGCACAGCTGTGCTTGCAGGGAAGCCCCAGCGTTCCCAGCAGCTCATCTCCATCTCAGTTCACTAGGTCTAATTGTGTTACAAAGTCATATGTTCCAAAATGAATGCCCAGCATTTCCAGATCGGGCTGTTTTCAGGGAGATGTACCATATCTAAAACCATGTAGCTTGGCATGTATTCCCTATTTAAAGATTCTACTGAAAGTATGGAATTTCTTTTTCAATTAATTTTATTCTCCTCATAGTGTTTTAAAAAATATTTTGGAAACTGACCCTATTTATAGGGTCAGTTATAGATTGACCTGATATACAGGGCAACGGACTTCAAAATGAATCAGTGCATACCTAGGAATTTTAACCAGAAAAATTAGGAGGGCTTAACAGTACCTACAGTAGACGCTCTTTATGTCTGTGAGTTCAGGTACTCAGCATTGGGCTGACACTGCCTGCATTTCCTGAACGCATGTTGTTCTTGATTCACATGAACAGAACACATCCATTTTTCATGTTGTTTTTTTTTTTTAAACAGAAGACCTTGACTCCCTAGTCATGGCATTCAGATCAGCTGAAGAAGGTCAAGAATCATGCTTGTGTGCTTAAGGGCTTTATAATTATATAAAAGTTCTTTCCTAGTGGGTTCTGTTGGATTCAAACTGAAAAAAGGATGAAAAAAAAAGAAAAGGGGAAATGAGAGACAAGCTTGAACCTAACGTTTGACTATAGAAAGTGGCCAACTGAATGCTTCTCTTCTACTCTCCCCAGAGCCCATGCCGGCGAAGTGCAGACGCAGCCGCACCAAGTTCACAGAAGAGCAGTTGAAAATCCTCATTGATGCCTTCAACCAAAAACCTTACCCAGGCTATGCTGCCAAAAAAAGGCTTGCTTTGCAAGTCAATACTGAAGAGTCTAGAATCCAGGTAAGCTACACGTTCTATTTCTCTAAGACTAGAAGGAGAAAGGGAGGGGGAGCTGTTAATTGAGCACATTTTACGTGACATTTACAAAACAGAAACAGACCACAGACATTGAAAACAAAGTCACAGTTAAGGGGGATGGGAGAGATAAATTGGGAGTTCAAGATTTGTGGATACTAACTATTATGTATAAAATAGATGAATAACAAGTTTACGCTGTATAGCACAGGGAACTATATTCAATATCTTGTAGTAACTTGCGGTGAGAAACAAATATATGTATGTCCACGTGTGATGGAAGCATTATGCTGCACACCAGACGTAGATATAACATTGGAAACTGACTATCCTTCAGTAAAAAGATATATATACAAACAAGCCAACAAACAGATGTGGATACTGGGGGTGAAGGAGCTCCCAGGGGTGGGCAAGAAGTGTTGGTCCACCTTCAGAGAAGAGGGAGTGTGTGTGTGGTGTGCTGGCTGGAGGACACGCTTCTTCCAGGGCATAAAGCCAAGCAGGTCATTACATGTGACGTGGTCACAGATGTAGGCGAGGGTCTGGTGACACGGTGAGACTGCAGAGGAACTGTGGGTGATGTTAGGGTCAACCTTCCCCTTTTCATCCACTTTCAATGAAGTGCAGTAGACCAGGGATCAGTGGACTGATATGCGATGCAGATTTAGGCTTCAGGTGGTTCTTTTTAAAAAACTTTTTTTTTTTTTACAGTTTTTGGAGGGAGGTAATTAGGTTTGTTTATCTATCTATCTACCTACCTACCTATATATCTAATGGAAGTGCTGGGGACTGAACCGAGCACTTGCTCTAACACTGAGCTTCACCCTCCCCACCGAGGTGGTTCTTGAACGCACACTAACTGCAGCATCTCTTTGTTACCTTAAAAAGATTTTCATAGCAAATCATGCAGGGACCAGGTTGTGAAGATGCTAAATGCCGAAGTCTGGTCTAAGATTTAGTCAAATGCAACAGGTATCAGGGAGAGCCCTGAGCGCAGGGCTCATAAGAATTGCTCTCTTTGGAGCAAGGCAGCAATGGGGCTGAGATGCTGTGCGCACGCTACTGCCCTCCTTTTCTTTTCCCCGCCCAGATATGGTTTCAGAATCGAAGAGCCAGACATCAGTTCCCAAAGAGGCCCGAGGAGCACTTAGATGCACGCCAGGGCCGCGGCCCCCCCGCCGGGCAGACCCCAGGTGAGCCGCCTGCCCCCGTCCTGGCCCCCTGCCGAGCCTCTTGGGCACCCACGTGCCTCTTCATGGTGGGGCCAACACTGCTCTGGGTGGGGGGGGGGAGAATGTTTTCTCCTTCAGGGAGAAACCTGTTCAAGGTCTTCTGGTGGCAAAGGGTCAACATGGCGCCTGGAAACGCCTCCTCACAGGGGCCCTCAGACTTTCTCCAGCTTCCCTTATCCGCGCGGGAGTCTAGCAGCTCAGCCAAACACTGCCTGGCCCCCAGCGCCTTCCGCCTGGGGCAGCCTGGGACGAGGCCCTCTCGAGGGGACACAGCAGGTCCCAAGTTCGATGGAGACGGTGGGACATGGTGGGGTTCCCCGTCTGAACATGTAACTCATCTCCAAGACGTCCCTTTGCCCTCACTCTTGTACCTCCTCCAGGCAGAGGGGACAGGCGGTCCCGCACCAGCTACACTAACTCCCAGCTGCAAACTCTCATCGAGGAGTTTAAGGTCAACCCTTATCCTGGGATTGACTCCAGAGAGAAACTGGCTAAAGAAATTGGGGTTCCAGAGTCAAGAGTCCAGGTGAGTGACGAGGCATCTGACTGCTCTGTTTCCTCGGGAAGGGGGGCCCCACCAGCCGGGAGCTGCAGACCCCGCGGCCCACTCTCGCCCGCTTTGGTTCTTTTCTGTCAAAATCACTGTTGCATCCCTTCTGCTCAGAACATTGCCTGGACTAGGACGTTCAATCAGAATTTGTTGAACGAAGGAAGGAAGAAGTGTGATCTCCACTGACTGTGAGCCAGGCATTTGGTCAAGGTCTAGCTCTGTCACACCCTTCAGCCTTTCTAATCACCCCATGAGGTCAGAATTACCGTCCACTGTAAAGACTTAACTTCTAGCTCGGGGAAATGTACCAGCCTGTCTAAGGCCCATTTCTGAAAAAGAATCCTAAAATGGAATATGATTCTGTCAGTGCTGGTGTTGGTGGTGTGTGTGTCTGTGTATTTAAACCAGAGGTCCCTCCTGTAGCCAGGAAGCCAGGACACCTCAGCGGGCCCGTCGCTCCTTTCCCTTTCGCTCTCCTCCCTTCCTTCCTCATTTTTTCACTTTGCATTCATACTTAGCGCCTACTGTGTGCTAGGAACTGTAGTGCGTAGTGACGTGTTCATAGAGAGGAACAGAATACCTTTAGAATTATGAGTGAACGGATGTCTTTGGTGTAAACAAGGAAGATGTATCTGGTCAGCAACAGTTTCACAAGAGGGAAACTGGAACCGGGGCTTGCAAAACAAATTCTTCGGAGGAAGACCGAATCAAGGGCTGAGTAAGAGCGGCATTTGTGGCGGACTGGAGTCTTAAGAGATGTCCCGTTGTTTCCAGAAAACTGTAAATCTGTCTACGGGCTGGAGAATTGGGTAACATAGGGATACCGATGGGGCCTTCAAGTCTGGGCCATTGTTCACGGACAATTAATGGAAGATCTCATATTTGGGCTTTGTACATACCATCTTCCATGAGCCTGTGAGCTGTGAGGTGGGGTCCATCTCTGATTACTCCTTGTGCGCCTAACAGTGAGCGGACGTCTTGAAGTGGATCAGGCGCTTGGAAAATGCTTGCTCCAGGAGTTAGCATTTTGTCCTTTGGATGGTGAGGACGTGCTGAAGGAGTTAAGGCAGAGGGGAGGGCATGCTTGAAGTAGCTGCTCATCCTCCAGAGTGAGGCGGGAACTCCATTCTTGGGGCGGGAAATGAGTTAGGCGACAGGTGAACAGTCACAAGGAGGAGGATGAGACTGTGTCACGGTGAAGGCTGAGAGATTCTGTAGAGAAGAGATTTCAATGGCCGACTGACTTTTGAGTAAGTGGTTCGGGGTGATTCTGAAAGGAGGAACGTGGGTTGGGCGAGAAGAAAAGTCAGTGGGGAAATACGAAGCCAGCTGTGCCCCAGAGAAGCCATCCCAGTATCTCTGGGGCTACTTTTCTCCTCAGAATTCAAAGCTGAATACATTCTTCCTTATGAAGTCAGGATATTGGCAGGTACACACACAGCGAGAAATCTCTGAATGGCTTCCCCACACAGGGACAAATTCTCAGATATCAGCGGGACGGCTGGAAAGAGGGCTTTCTGGTTTGGATGAAGGAACTAGGGCCACCTACGTGCAGCTCTTGCCAAACAATCACTTATTCATCTGCAGAGTGTGGTCTGTGCCTTCAGGAAGGAGGTGACAAGTTCAGTGATGGTACGTGACTTTTCTAAAGTCTGGTTTGGGGCTCTAGACTCATGCTTATTCTACTAGGAACCCCTGAAAACCAAAAGTAGTAACTGAACGTGAGGTTGTGTGTGTGTGTGTCTATGGGCACAATAAGGGGAAGCAATTGACCAGGTCTTACGGGATAAAAGATGTCTTTCTAGAAGACATTGCTCCATCCTGGGTCATGGAATAAACATAGGCATTTTTGAGAGGAAGTACAGAAGCTGGGAAGACAACTCCAGGCAGAGGGAAGCGCGAAGGAACAGGCACGATACTTTGGGGCAAGACCTACCCTCGTAATGCGGGGACCACAGGGACGTCCAGGACACGAAAGCCAACACGAGGTCTGAAGTACTAGGGACGTGACACAGGTTTTGAGCTCTATCCTGAGGTCTGACAGGCGTTCCCAGCTGACGTATGGAACGCCAATGATTTTGGAATTAGGCCTCAAGGAAATCACCCCTCTCTCCCCTGTGCCTTATGAGAAGAGCAGTGGTGAGGCTCGTGGACAGCAGCTGTTTTAATTCTCTGTTTTACTCACTTAGGTTTGGTTTCAAAATCGAAGATCGAGACAAAATACGCAGAAAGAAAGAGAACCTGGAGAGGCTGTAGACCAAGGACAAAACCAGGGACAAGATCTCAGAGATGGGACAGTCCAAGGTACTAGCCTGTTGTTCCCAGTCTGGCTCACAGGTGGACCCCACTGAGTGCCTGGTCCCTCCACATGGCAGAGTCACCCCCAGCTTCTCCAAGGAGGCAGAAGCTGTTCTCAGCTCGAGGGTCTCATCAGGCTCCGTAGAGTCAAGGTCCCTGAAGGCTCCTCCTGTGGGAAGAGGTCACTACCCACTTTTCAAGCTCCAAACTGGAGTCTGGAAACCCCATTAGTATGTGAGCTTTGCTCCCCAATATTTTCTCCATGCCTGGCACATAGTAAATGATCAGTGAACCTTTGTGGAAGGCTTCCCCAGGAGGCAGAAGGTTCCATATTTGACTGGAAAGGCGGGAGAGAGTTGACCTCCATTTTTGTATGTATAAACTGCCTCTTTTGATTTTTCTTTCCCTCTTTAGGTACAGCAACTACATAGATCGTCACTCACTAGTGACTATTTCTCTGGAGCCAATGAATGAGGCGAACAGAGAGACAAGTGAAGTGTAATTGGTGTCATCAGCCCAGACTCCAGGCTGCTGCTCTTCCTGGAAACACCCTTGTAAACGTATGTTCAGCTCCTCCTGAGGCTGAGCCTTCTGGAGGTGGTAAACAGGACTTCAGGGGTCAGAGACAGATAAAAGTACCACAGAGCTCTCCTGCTGAACCTGGATTCAGAGTTCAACAGATCCTGAGCACAATGAAAATAAACTTAATATCATTTTTTGGTCATCAGAATAATGACTGATGCAAGCAAAAATCAAGGCATGTGCAGTACTGTGGTTTTTTAATAATAAATATCTATTTAGTCTTCATCCTCATTTCTGGTATAGAGTTCCTAAAGCCGTCGGAATTTCCTGTGATGAGAGCCATAAAGGTGTCTCTTGTTACATGCTAATGAGGTGATTTTTGGACCAAACCTACAGGTAGGAGATGGTTGCCTGGAGAACTAGCCATGTGATTAGATGATTGGAAAATTCAGAACCGCCCTCCAGGGAGGGGAGAGGGTCTGGAAGTTGAGCCAATCATCAATGCCCAATGATTTAATCTATTATGCCTGGGTACTGAAACCTCCATTAAAAACCCCCAAAGGGTGGGGTTCAGAGCTTCCAGATCAGTGAACACGTGGAGGAGAGGAGAGCGGTGTACTTGGAGAGGGGATGGAAGCTCTGAGCCCCTTCTCACATACCTCTCCCCGATGGATCTCTTCATCGGGCCATTGATTTATATCCTTTAATAGCCTTTGTAGTAAATCGGTAATCACTTGAGTTTCCTGAATTCTGTGAACCGCTGTAGCAAATTAATCAGACCCAAAGAGAAGGGTTTCTGGGAACCTCTGATTTACAGCCATTTGGTCAGAAATACAGGTTAACAACTGTACTTGAGGTTGGCAGCTGAAGTGGGAGGAATTGTGGCGGGTGGAGGACACCACGGGGCCTTCCCAGGACAGACGTGCCCCCACCCCAATATTCTCAGCCTTCCTCTTGTTTGTAGAAAAACTTCAAAGAATAGATGTAATCAGAGAAATAAGAAAATTCAGAAACAAAGGAAAACTAGACAAAATAGTAATTTAGTCATTAAACAGAGTTGAGGTCCTTTAGTTCCTCCTCAAAGACTAATAGATAATATTCTGAGCCATCTGCATTGAGCCCTCACCAGCTGGAAGAAGTTAACTACATGATGACCAGACTAGCCATGAAATAAGCTGCTTCATCTTAAACAATTCCAAGAACTATCTTCAAGGAAATTGGAACATACTCTGGAGGTGAAGATTAACTATTTACAACATTCAAGATGGCGCTGATCTGACCACCACACAACCAATTTCAGGAAGACTGTCAGAGACCATCGTGCTGTTCTGCCTGTAGCCTCCTTCCTCTGCCTGCACACCCCCAAAGCTCCACTTTAAAAGCTCTTGCCCCCTGATCTGCAATTGAGAGTTCGCTTTTGGAATAAGTCCATCTTATCCCCAGGTTGCCAGGAAGTCTGCAGTGGGTGTAACAGTTATGCCCCAGGGGAATTGTGTCTCTGTTGGTTGCTCCTTTGGTGTCCGTGGTCTTTCCTTGTAAATTGCCAAACAAATTTCTTACCTAAAGTAACACTTAGTTTATCACTCTAAGACATTCACAGTCTACACAGGATGTTTCAGAACAATTAACAGAAGTTCACATTGGCCACTGTGACTCCATTCTCAACTACTTACAACAGCCTAAGTCCTGTATGTTTCACACAAGATGAGTAGGAATCACAACACAACAAGGAATCACATCATGATGAGTGTCCAACAGAAATTGTGCTGATGGAAGTGTTCTATAGGGGTGCTTCCAATACAGTAGCCATAAGAAGCCACAGTGGACTACTGGGCACTAGAAATGTGGCTAGTGTGCCAGAAACTGGATTTTTAATTCAATTTTTTATTGTATTTATTTTTCTTAAAACTTTTAAATGGAGGTACTGGGGATTGAACCAAGGACCTTGTGCATACTAAGCATGCACTCTACCACTGAGCTATTACCCTCCCCCAATTCAATTTATTTTTAGTTTAAATTTATATAGCCACATGTGGCTAGTGGGCTATCTTATTGGACAATGTGGATCTAGAAAGCACTTTATGAACCATTTCATTCAACATTGCATGAACAGCATCTTTCCAATTTAATGAATGTGCACCTCAAACACTGGTACCTATTTATTTGATGGCATTAATAGGTTAGAAGGTATAATGTAAACCTGTGTCTTAATCACAACAGAACCAGCACTATAAGGATAAATTTTAAGAGAATATACATGGCCTTCCTACACTGTTGATGGGAATGCAAATTGGTGCAGCCACTATGGAGGACAGTATGGAGGGTCCTTAAAAAACTGAAAATAGACTTATCCTATGATCTAGCAATCCTACTCCTGGGCATATATACAGAGGAAAAAATAATTTGAAAAGATACATGCACCCCAATGTTCACAGCAGCACTATTTACAATAGCTAAGACATGGAAACAACCCAAATGTCCATCAACAGGTAAAGAAGATGTGGGATACACACACACACACATATATATACACACACTGGAATACTACTCAGCCATAAAAAAGAATAAACCAATAAAACAATGCCATTTGCAGCAACA